CTGTCCCAAAAATAAATAAACGTTGAAAAAAAAAAAAATCTGATAAGACCAAGTTACATTTACCCTAAGAGATGTAAAAAAATGTTTTAATATGTGGAAATTGTTTTTTGTTTTTTAAATAACCCATTATCTCAACAGGTCGCCTAAGAAAAACCCACAGGATCATTTCAATAGATGTTGGAACTTATTTCCTGACAAGCAGAAGCCCCGGGACCCAGAGCTGCATTGGCCGTGGGTTGGCAGAAGGTGTCCCAAAGGTAGCATCGCGGGATGAAGCCAGCACCGGGCCCAACCGACAGTCCAGTGAAGTGTCCATCCAAGAGAACCAGATGGAGAGGTGGAAACCAGAAGAAGGTCAGAAGACAGAGCCTGGGGAGATGCTGGGAGGCACAGCCTCCAGGCTTCACTGCAGGGCCCTGCACACCCTCTAGTCCCGAGCCAAGTTTGGACGCTAGCTGTTGAAAATGCATTTGAAAACATTCAGCATCCAGGTCTTATAAATAGCTCCTAAAACCGAGACTAAGGAGAAAGCCTTCACACAAGAAAGACTGTGTCATACAAGCAGTCCCCTTAAAATGTAAAAAATGTTTTAAAAAAACAAACGTAAAAAATGTTTTCCTGCTCTGAGTTTTAAGGAGCCATTTTGTCTTTTCAAGAATTCTCTACAATAAAAGGAAAAATAAAAGGATGGAAGTTATAGGGGAGCCGGAAGAAATGAGGAGACCGTGGGGAGCAATGAACCTCGCATTTTCTATGGTCAAATCTAAATCAATCTATGCATGTTATAGCTCAGTAGCAAGTGTCTTAGAAAAATTAATAAAATCTAAACAGGTATTGAGAGAGTAACCGAAAAGAAATGCTAAATAACGACTTCTGCACCTCTGCCTCATACCATAACACAAAACAAATTCCAGGTGGGTTAAGACGTAAATGTAAAAATGTACGATAAAAATCGGAGGAGAAAATGTATGACACCGAATTCCTCGTGAAGGACAGGAGACATCTGCTACACCAGAACGGAAAACGAGAAGCCATAAAACAAGAGAAACATACTTGACCCTCCAAAAAGTTAAATATTTTTAGAAAGGTCTGAAAAAGTCCAAGTGCTGTGATGAATTGAGGGACACTTTCAATTTTTAAAATGATGAAAACCCCTTAAAATGGATAAGAAGAAGATAAATAATGCAATTGCAATGGATAAACTCAGGAAGACGGTGAAGAGGCTGTTTTGGGAGGAGCAAATCCAAACAGTCAAGAAACCCATTAATACGCACCCCCCAGCAGAGAACCGAAAATTAAAAAAACCAAGGAGGTCACTTCTCAGTTATCAGATTAGCAAAAATTAAAAACAGAGCGCCTGGGTGGCTCAGTCAGTTAAGTGTCTGACTCAGCTCAGGTCATGATCTCACGGTGCCATGAGTTTGAACCTTGCATGGGACTCCCTGCTGTCAGCATGGAGGCTGCTTCAGATCCTCTGTCTCCCTCTCTCTCTGCCCCTCCCCTCCCTCTCAAAAATAAAGAACATTAAAAAAAAAGATAAAAATCTGCCGCTGAAAGGAAAATTAACACTCTTGGACAGTGCTGTTGGAAATGTGAATTGTCACAGCATTTGGGGAAAGCAAGTTGGCAATGCTATTAAGATTTTAAATTCTTGGGGTGCCTGGGTGGCTCAGTTGGTTAAGCGTCTGACTTCAGCTCAGGTCACGATCTCGTGGTTCGTGGGTTCGAGCCCCCCATTGGGCTCTGTGCTGAGAGCTTGGAGCCTGGAGCCTGCTTCAGATTCTCTCTCTCTCTCTGCCCCTCCCCTGCTCTCTCTCTCTCTCTCTCTCTCTTG